ATCCAGGTTCAGATGCGAAAAATGTTGTAGCCAATCTTCTTATTCACTCTGCTCCTGCACCCATTGCTTGGACACACAGATAAGGGACCAAAAAGGATCTAACATCTATGTCAATCTTTCATTCATACTGTCATTTATTTATTTGATAGATGTTTATTAAGCGTTTATATGTAGGTAATGCGCTGAACATTGGGCAAATAGTGATGAATAGAACTGATTCTTCCTTATAGAAATAACTTGATCTAAAGGCCTGAGACTAAAGTAGGATTTCTACTTCTTCCTCCATAAATTGAAGATAGCAACGTTTAGAGTGCTAATGCAATCAGGTTGCCACCCTAATTATAGTCGGAAAAGCTGGAGAAGAAATGGGAAGCCTTCCCCGCTGTGAGGTCTCCCACCTTAGTGTTTTCCAATGAAAGGAAATACAAATGTGAGCTCAGAGAAGAAAATGAATTGAGGAGCCTGGCTGGGCCTTGAGTCATAGACTGACCCAGGTGAGTAAAACATGGCATATACACTACAGAGGATGTACAACAGGATGAGGAATGAAATAAAGAGAAAGCATAAAGCATTACTGTTCTAGTCTGTTCCACTGCTAACAACAACAACTAAACACCTGATTTTGGGTGATTTATACAAATAGAGGTTTATTCAGCTCATGGTTTGGAGGACCGAGGTCCAGGGGCACATCTGTTAAGGGTTTTGTAGTTGGTTGGATTCTGAGACTACACGGAGAGGGTGTGGAGTCACGAGAGAACAGGAGAGTGCAGCCGTATCCATGTGTGCTTCTTCTGATCTCCCTCCTTCTCCTTACCATGCCACCACACTCAGAGGTCCACCCTCATCACTTAATCACGCATACAGGTCCCACTTTTTAATACCATGACGGTATTAAGTTTCTTCTTAACACCATCACCATACCATCAAGTTCTAACACATTTCAAAAAGACACCCAGACTATAGCAAATTTCATGTAATAGAAACATCATAAAAGGAAACATAAAATGAAAATATTTGAGCATAAAATTCAAGTGGCAAGATTGATAAATGGTAGTGAAATTTGGGGTGAAAAATTTATTTAAGTTGGCATAAGTGAGACTTCAAAGAAATGTCATTTGAGCTTGTCCTAGAAGTGCTTATTTTATTCAGCAGCTAACAAACATTGACTAAAAGGTTGGTGACCTGGTAGTAATGAGACTGGTGGGCTCACTTACAAAAATGAAGGCTGAAATGAATGGCAATTTTTAGTCTGAACCACTGACTGTATGGCACAAATCTTCAGATAAGTAGGTAAACTTGGTAAATAACAAGAATAGAAGCAAGTTATGGTA